GATAATGTTGCATTCGTGGAGGCGGTGACCGGAAAGGAAATTACTTATGGGGAGGTGGTGAGAGACACTAGGAGATTTTCCAAGGCCTTAAGGTCTCTTGGCCTTAGAAAGGGGCATGTGGTGGTGGTTGTTCTCCCAAATGTTGCAGAGTATGCCATAGTTGCTTTGGGAATAATGGCGGCTGGTGGGGTGTTTTCGGGAGCAAATCCATCAGGGCATGCATCTGAAATTAAGAAGCAGGTGGAGGTAGCTGATGCCAAGATCATTGTAACAAATGGTGCAAGCTATGAAAAGGTAATGTTATCAGATCATAGGCCCAGTAATTCTGTTAATAATAATGCAGGCAGCTGTGAGTATATGAAATGATAATTTATAGTGCAATTTTAATTCTAAGCCTTTGTGTTGAGAATTTGAGATGTGCAGGTAAAAGGCTTTGGGGTACCAGTAATTGTGCTTGGTGAAGAAGTTATTGAAGGTGCTATGAACTGGAACAACCTGCTTGAAGCAGCAGACCGTGCCGGGAACAAAATCAATAAGGAGGAATTGAAGCAGTCTGATCTATGTGCCCTTCCATTCTCATCAGGCACAACAGGACTGTCCAAGGGTGTAATGCTGACTCATCGAAACCTAGTAGCCAACCTCAGCTCCACACTCTTTGGAGTAACGCCGGAAATGATTGGCAAAGTCACTGTCCTAGGCCTAATTCCATTCTTTCACATCTATGGGATCACTGGAATATGTTGCGCGACGCTTCGAAACAAGGGGAAAGTGGTGGTGATGGGAAGATTCGAACTTCGGACTTTTCTTAATGCATTGGTCTCACAAGAGGTCACATATGCGCCCATTGTGCCACCAATCATTTTGAACTTGGTTAAGAATCCAATAGTTGATGAGTTTGATCTGAGCAAGCTAAAACTCCAGGCCATTATGACTGCAGCAGCTCCACTTGCACCAGATGTCCTCAAAAATTTCGAAAACAAGTTCCCTGGTGTCCAAGTCCAAGAGGTGACACAAAAACAATGCCCTTCAATTTGTAAGTGCTGATTTTAACAGACAATTGTGTGTTTTTTGGCTGATTCAATTGTGCTTATTTTTAATTGTAGGCATATGGATTGACTGAACATAGCTGCATCACACTCACTCATGCCGCACCGGGTGTTATGGCAAAGAAAAACTCAGTTGGGTTCATTCTTCCAAATTTGCAAGTCAAATTCATTGACCCTGACACCGGCCGATCCCTCCCCAGAAACACCCCTGGTGAACTTTGTGTCTTGAGTCAATGTGTAATGAAAGGTAAAGGAGAGAGATTGATTGCATCACATGTTAATCACATGTTGATGTGATTCACCTTTGTCATACAGAAGTCCAATATGTCTGTCCTTTGTTAAGCAACATAATTTGTATTGATATTGTCGATAATGTATCGATAATATATAGTGTACTGAGAACATGCAGATCTCATGTCATAATAACTTACTTTTCAGGTTACTACAATAATGAAGAGGAGACTGCCCGGATCATCGACAAGAATGGATGGCTTCACACTGGTGACATTGGCTACATAGATGATGATGAAAATGTCTTTATTGTGGATCGCATCAAGGAATTAATCAAGTACAAAGGTTTCCAAGTAAGATGGACCACTAATTATAACCCTAGATTAATGAAAGTTCACTAACTCAATGTCATGGATTTAAAAGTTGCGCTACTGATTAACTAGACTAATTCCCAAGGAACTTGAGGCCATCCTTCTGAGCCATCCCTCGGTTGAAGACGTTGCAGTAGTCCCGTAAGTATCGAAATTCGTTCGATCATACTTTGTTGTTCAGCAAGAAAATTACTGCAGTTTCTGTTTAGATTAAGGTGTTTTGGGGTTAATTGGCAGATTGCCAGATGAGGAGGCAGGGGAGATTCCAGCAGCAAGTGTTGTTTTAGCAGCTGGTGCAAAAGAGAGTGAAGAAGACATTATTAAATTTGTGGCCTCAAATGTTGCTCAATACAAGAAAGTGAGAGTGGTGCACTTTGTGGACAGCATCCCAAAATCACCCTCAGGCAAAATTATGAGAAGGTTGGTCAAAGAGGCCATGATAGAGAAGATCAAGGCATGCAAGCTCCACACCTAAACCTAATTAAATCCAGTTTAAAATTAATAACATGGTTTTAAGCATGTATCATTGAATTTGAACAACAATATATGTATCCCATCCAACTATCCAATCTAACCAGCATCACCAATTCACTTGATTCTTCATCTGTGATTATCAAATTAAGCTCTACCATAATTAATAATTAATGAAAGCATCATCATACCAGCAAACTATGCATAAAAAAACCAAAAGAAAGGTGGGGAGATGGGTAGGTGGGCTGGTTGGTTGATGGGATCTTAAATTTTTGAATGTGAAGATTATGACTGATAGCAAGTGTGTAACAATGATTATTGACTGCTAATCTCGAATGGAATTAAGTTCTCAGTAATTCTTGGAGAATTGACTTTGCACCAGCGACCATACTATCAGCCTGGTACCTTGTCCATGCTAGGGATATAAATATCATGGGGCCTCATGATCGAGTCCAACTCCAATCTATGTAGAATCCTAAAGCGAATAAGGTCACTTGGTGCGCAGTTGCCCACGTACCTTGATGCAGAATCACACATATTCATATACCAAAATCAAATCAAATCAAATCAAATTCTTTCCTCTCTAGAAATAGCCTCCACCATCAATAGAGTTGCAGTGTGAAAAATTCACATACATTATATTTATTGATACCTTACTTTAAACTAAAGTATAAACTCACTTCGTCATCTCAAATAATTTTTTGAGTAATAATATAACACAAAGTACCGTGAGTTAATAACACTATGTGGCGGAATTTCTCCTCTACATACAGAGTTGTTAATTATGCCAAGATTAGTTAATTATATCTGTATTCTAAAAACAATGAACACCAATGGTAGCAATGAACAAAAGTGAACGTGCCCACTTGGACCCTTCTCAGCATGAGATCTTGAAATTCGATTTAATTAATTGATCTGATTAGTTAAGTAATTGTTTCCATTTGCCAACCTCAATCCACACGAACTAATAGTTTAATAGACACAAGTTGGTTTGCCAAAATTAGTTAATTATATCCGATGCTAAATTCAATATATTTGTGTAAACAAAAACAAAACCCAACTCGGCTCGCTTTGTCCAACGAATAACTTATTTTTATTCTTTCAATCACATCCCATGTTGATGTTATATATCATTATTTATAAATTTGTATAATTATAATGAGTGGTGATTTCCTCACTCGAATTTTATCTGTTTACACTTCTTTTTTATAATTGGTCCTAACATGAGGACAATCCGCCCATTTCTTTTATGTTTAGCATCATCGTCTTAACTAGTCCAACTTGTTGATACAAGACACATTCCTAAGTTTACTTTCCTTAAACAAACAAAAATTCCCAATTAAAAAAACCCACAACATGACATTGTTAACGTCTTTTACCTTTTAAACTTTAACCTAATTTTTATATTACACTGACTGCAGTCATGCAAATATGTTTGGTAAGGTAAATTTTTTGTTTTCTCTACCATTTAAATAATAACCATAATAAAATGGAATGAAACTTGCAATTGGCAATTAGGTTGACCAAGATAGATTACAGTCAACTTTATGAAAAAGGAAAATTTTCTCTAAGACAATCATACCACATAATCATCATATTTACGTAGTATAAAGAGATGTCAACCAATATTATGATCAATAGTAACTCACTCGTATAATAATTTATCAGATGATTACGATAATGTGATACAACGTGTTTTTTATAATTGATGAACCGGACTCTCTCTATATTTTTCAATTAGTTTTTTTCTTTTAATACAAGAGGAATGCTAGCAATCTTCTCTTTAATCTTTTCTTTTGGACCTTCTCCCTTCTCTTCATGACACGTGTCACTTTCTCTACACTTAAAACAATGTCATTAATACATTAAACAATGTATGTTTTGTTTTCCTAATTTACCCTTGTTAAATGCATTGGACAAACTAACTTTTATTTTCACCTTGTTAAAAAATTAAAAGAGAATTTTAAAATCTTCCACAAAATTAACGTCAGTTTTTTTTTTTAATTAATAAAAAAAATTCTGTTTACTAATTTTTTTTGGTGAGGGAAGGGTTTTTTTTTTCTGTTTCTTTTTATCTTTTAACTTTTTTAATCAATTAGAATGTTCATTAATTTTAAAAAATATTTATTTGTATTTTTTTTTTTTAAATTCCATAATTTTGAACGGTTTTATTGCAATACTTATTTTTGAAACCAAAAAAAGTTTTTTTTAGGGAAGTACACTTCGTTTTTATTTTCAAATATTTATTTAATTGAACTTTTAATGTTTATTTTTTAAATTTAATTGTTTAAGTTAAGTTGTAAAGTGAAGGAAATATAAAGTTAATACATTTAATAAGGTTAAATTTGGGGACAAAAGATATATTGTATAATGTCATTGTTTTAAGTGTAAAGAAAATGACACATGTCATGAGGAGGAGAGAGAATGTCCAAAAGAGAAGGTTAGAGAGAAGGTTGCTAGCATTCCCCTTAATACAAACGATAGTCTAAATGCAAATACTACCAATGATATTATGAGAGTTCGAACATAACACCAATGATGTGTAAATTAATGTCATTTTCCAATTAGGCCCTGTTGGCTCTTTTGTCGGTTTTGGTGGCTGCTTTGCGTTTACCGAGAAGTAAAGGGGGCTATAAAACAAAGCTGCCAAAGACCCAAAAGCAAAGCAAAAGTTGAATTTTACAGAAACAAACACAATATGAGTGTGGGAGCAAATGGCGGTACGTCTCTGTGGTCTTTTTCTACGATGAAAGATTGAAACTTGGAAAAGGAAAACGAATGGGAATGCCAGGAAATGCTTTTCCCTTCTTTTTTTAATATCCCAAAAGCTTCTCTGCAACCTTCCACAATCCACCAAGTAAGTGTTACTAATATTGAGCTCAGCTCAGCTCGCAATCATTTTTCCCTTTTGACTTTCTCTTTTTTCATCTGTATCTCTCTGTTGCTTGATATTCCATTACAAAAGTTGGATTTTTTCTTCACCCTTTAAGCTGAATGAAATCGAAGAATATTACTTATCTGCATAAGGGGATTTGGAATTTTCGGAAAACGACGAGTAGCTGTGGTTCTGGTTCTGCTAATTTCAGATTTACATGTTTTTTACGGAAACAAGAGAGTAATTATAACGAATCACTATCGAAGCTGCCGAAGTTTCTTAATTTGGGGAAGCAATTTTTAAATTTTTTGGAACGCCTCTCTCTTTATTTCCATATTTAGAGGTTCGACTTTATTGGGGGATTTTTTTTATTTTTGTTTTATTTTCTTTCATCTTGTACATGAAAATTATTGAACTTTTCTGGACAGGCCTAAATGCAATTTCTTTGAGGGGTCTGGTTCCAGATATGAAAAACCCCAAAACTGTTATTCGAGTTTATGGGGTCAATCAATATGGTTTCTTGGTGACTAAAGAAGGAAGAGGCTTGGAGGGGTTTGTTGGAGAAATGGATGAATTTGAGAGCAATTGAGGTTAAAGTGTTAACGTTAGCAGACTAACAATGACCGACTGTAGTGTAGTGAGTGGGGCTTATTCAATGACCGACTTTCAGAGATTGCGATGTTATTGAATGTGAATTATTGGAGCTAAAAGGTTTGTAAAGTACAAGCAAGGTATATGAGAAAAGGTGGCGGTAATAAGTAAAAGAAAAAAACATTATTAGAAATAATTGAAGAGAGAGGGGGAGAGAGACAGAGGTAATATATACATACATGTATAAAGGTGGAAAATTTCAGCTCAAAGTTTGCGGAAAAATGGGGAACCCTTGCCCATCCTTACTATGGTTCTGGTTAGTTGTAGTTTCTGAATAGGTGGGGCTTGCTAAAAGTACTAGATTGAGAAGTAATGACTTGGAAATGTGGAATACAGTAGGTAAGGTTTGGATTTATGTAATCAGTTTCTTTGTTTTGGTCGAATGAAGTAGATGGGGATTTAGCTGCAGAAGGTTTACGGTTGGAAAGTGGTTTCTCTGCCGTGAGATGCATCAGGCGGTTTTATATTTAATTCCTTGGTGTGCATAGTTGGGCAGATCTGAGCAGCCTTGCTTCTTCAACTCATACATACTCAAAGAATTCAGCACTGTTTCTTGCAAGGGTATTTAGGATTCGCCTTCTTTTACAGCTTCATTCTCCACCACTGCAATATTCATGTTCTTGTTCTTTTACAAAGTTTAAGGAACTTTGTATTCTTATTGACAAAGTATAATGCAAGGTTATTAGTTAATTAATATTGTAGTGTATTTCCTCCCATTTTCTTGCTTCATATATGCTTGTGTATATACATTCTTATGTTGTGGTTATATGTTTGCAGCATCTGGTGATCAGTTACTTAATTTGCATTATCCAAAAACGGTTTTGAAGTAGTTTTATGAATTCTGTGTTGCTGATGGAGTGGAATGAAAAACCTCCTTCACTATGGGATTTGGAGAACCTTTTCATGTTTGGTGCAAAAGTAACTGACAATTCCAAGAAGTTACAACCAGCAGACTGGGGTATTGAAGGGGAACGAGGAATGAACTCTGAATCTTTCTATTCAACTGGGGGTGATGGGGGCAGTGGTGTTTCTGGCTCTGATTTAGGAGATGGTTCATCAAAAAGTTCAAAATCAGCTTCCGTCAGTTCTTCAGTTGGGGAAAGTAAGAAACCCAATTTCAACCTTGACGCTTTTGAAGGTTTCCCGAATGATTTCATTCATAAAAATGAATCAGCTAAAGCTGAGGCCCTTGGATCTTCTCCAACTCATGAGGTTTCAGCTGGGTCGGGTGAGCCACTGCTCAGTCTAAAGCTTGGTAAGCGGATGTACTTTGAAGATGTTTGTGCAGGAAATAATCCTAAATCCTCTTCCCTTTCTGTTATTTCCTCGTCAATGGCAAAGACAAAGAGGAGTAAGTCCACTGGTCAGAGTGCATTTCCACCACACTGCCAAGTTGAAGGCTGCAATATTGATCTGTCATCAGCCAAAGATTACCACCGTAAACATAGGATTTGTTCTAATCATTCCAAATCTCCGAAGGTCGTTGTAGAAGGGGTGGAACGTCGGTTTTGCCAGCAGTGTAGCAGGTAAACCTTGTTAGAGACTTCTTTTACGATAATGAAACCCAGCAATTACTTGTTTTCTGATATTTTCTGGTTTGTTCCTCCTACTCTAGCCTAAAGATCGTCTAGATTATCTTGCTTATCTATGTGTCTTAATTGCAACAATGTTCTGTTCTTTAATGTTCAATTAGAATGAGCTTCAGTTCCTTCTTGGCTTCAAACATAGATCTTAATATGCATGAATCCTTTGTATGTTAAAGGTTCCATGGCCTTTCTGAATTTGATGAAAAGAAGCGAAGCTGTCGCAGGCGACTTTCTGATCACAATGCAAGGCGCCGCAAGCCACAGACAGAAGCACTGAGAAATCCAACAGGGCTGTCCTCATCACTGTTCAGTAAAGGTTTTTAACTCATACTGAAATTCTTGTTCTTCATGCTTCTTACTGACATAAATCAAATCATGATATAGGATGGAGCTAACTGCTTTTGATTTAAACAGCATGTTTTGATAATTGTTTTAGGGTATTCAAGAATGCAAATAAGCATACCAGGGTTAATTTTCCAGCTAATAATTAATTTGGGTTTAGTTCAAGTTAGGAATGAAAATGAGGCTTACCTAATTTATCTCGCACTTCTTACCAAATCAAAATATGAATAAGTGAAACCTTTGCGGAAATAATGCCAAAGGTTTATTCTTTTTCCTGTGAAAATGAATGAAACTGACAGGCCTCATATGGAGATTCAACTTCTTGACCGGTCACATGTTGTGTTTCTATTGTATATTCTTTAATTTGTAATTGAGTTATTTAGTACAGATCCATATGAAGCATCATTCAAGAGACCAAATACTGTTAGGGTCATTAATCATATTGTTGTTATACCATAGTTATCTGTTAAATTTGTGCTGATTTTGCTTACTATGCAGATGAGAGGCAACAGATGAGCCTTGTTTTGGACCAAGCCCCAAGTGTTTACACAAGGCATCCCTCAAATTTAACATGGGATGGCGCATGCAGCTTCAAGTTTGGACAAACGAAAGAATATTTTCCAAAGCCTGCAAAAGGAGGAGGCACTGGCGGGCAGCTGAATTTGGCCAACAATGGAATTCCAAGTTCAATAACAATGCTGTATCATGATTCCAGTAGGCTGTCACCTTCGAAGGGCACTGCCGCTGAGGTTCTCAACCGAGGTCTGTTATACTTCAGAGTGTCTTATTAATCATGATAAATCAAATTTTTATCATTTGCTATTTGTTAGTTCAACTGCCTGACATGAACCAGTAATTTTTACCCTCAATCCTGTCTTAACGTTTGTTTGTTTTTCAACATAAGAAATGTCTGTATTCTCTACGGTCACCAAAAAGCCAAATGAAAACATTGCTTGAATTGCAAACCAGTGCTCCTGTTTGCTAATCCCAATTTAAGTGGATCACAGATAATTGTAGATTCATAGTTCGTAGATCGTTCGTATCTATTAACAGGTCATGTAACTTTTATTTGGTGATGTTTGCAGGTGCTGAAGAATCTATGATCTCTTTCAACCTAGGTGCGACACAGGATTTTCATCGTGCTCTCTCTCTTCTGTCAACAAGTTCTTGGGTTTCAGGCGAGGCAAAACCTGTTGCACTTGATAATAATACCAACCAAAATTATCAGAACATGCCTCAACCTGGGACTCAAGCAATGACCCAAGGTTTGCCTGTCTCATCAGAGTACTGGCAAACTCAACATCTATCCCTTAATACCCAAGAAGCACATGTCTCCCACTCACACAGTAATGGCAGCAACCACTTCCATCAGGATCTTCATCAGTTCAAAGGGCCCTATGAGTTTGGTTATCAACCCAACCAATTCAATTAAATTCGACCCAAAAGACTCTTCTTTTTTCCATATAAATGTCACCCTTATCAAGGTTAGTTCCTTCACCAGAGTTTGTTTCTGCATTGCCCATCTGATCACCGGTTGTACCTATTATGTTAATAACTAAGATTTGCACGTCCACATTCAAACCAAAATATCTAATAGTTTCCATGGCCATTGGGTTTTTTCGACACCTATACGTTGATTGATGATTTTGCAAGTTATGACCCGTAGCTATAGCCTATATACATTTTGTCTAAGAAAAAGAAACAAGTACACTGATAGTGGAGCCACTGATAACAATGTTGTTATTGTGCGGTCATTGTCTCCCAGGAACTCAGCACTGCTTTGGTTTTACAACCGACAAGGTTTCAGATCCTGCGTTGTGTGGTTGCGAATTCACGAGCTGTGTTATTTAGATGTACCATGTTATGTCATAAATAATTTGGAACTCAGCACTGCTTTGCTTTACATTGTGGAAATTTTTTTTTATACTCCGCCTGACCCAGAATGTTATATGGAGGAACATTAGACCTTCCTCGTTTTGATTTGTTCTGACTACTGGTACGTCAAATTGATGGGCAATGGATGACCCATATGGCCCTCCCTGAGCTTAGATTGCTTGCGAGTTTAACATCAAAGGGAAAGAATCCGTGCCGACATTTATTTTTCCGATCATAGAGCGGGGACCATGCATATACATAAATCTCTTGCCAAGAAGACCATTTGAATGTGCATGTATTATTTATTCTTCTGAGAAACAGCGGTTTTGACAAATACTTTACAAAATGGGTATCCAACATAGAAAACCAGGAAGCTAAGCTAATGCAATACTAAAACAAAACTGATTTCTGGCCACAAGGTTCTTATTAGCAGTGCACAGCCGTGCTGTTCTCTATGTGGCGCCGACTCATGCTAAGGCAGCCACCAGCGTCTGCCCACACCTTCTGTCTAGTCTGCAACTTCGTCTTCCAAGAACCAACTCCAACAACTCCTTGTGTGGAAAATAGTAAATGTAAATTGTAAAAATGAGCTCACCGACATGAGAAAACGCTTACCTGTCACTGGAATATATCCCAGTATGTCTCTATATCTCCGTTACATGTAATTTCTCCTACCGGCCATCATGCTATTAAACCCCAAAAAGAAAGAGAGAGAATATTGTGCCCAGCGCTATCCTATATTGTTAAAAGGAAAAAATACCTCAAATTCTTTTGTAAAAGTAACTATAAAAAATTGCGAAGAAATCGGCTTGGTTCATTTTAAGTTCAAAAAGATATAATAACAATGTCATTAGAGTATGTTAAGTGGGGAAGAACTAGATCTGAAATCCGAATGTGAGGAATAACTAGGTGTTATTAACTGTGAATAGAATCACCTAATCCCTAATATTGCGTGGCCAGAAACTTCAAGTATATGTAGCAAGAACCAATGCCTCCATAGCACAAAGATGCAACATATTTAAATAAACCAAAACCAGGAAATTTATCTCTTTTTTTGAAAATGATCTGGTATGCTCAAATTAATCAAATTTCACTCAGAATCTTCAGACTTGCACCAAAAGGAAGACCCATACGCAATAAGGACCAACCCATACGCAATAAGGACCAATTTCTTTGTTGTATATGAGAAATCTATATTTTGTCGAGGCAACAAACACAAGGAAAGATGTATAATAGGGCAATCAACAGCCTGACAAGTAGGGCATGAAATCTAATGCTACCTCTCCAGAAAGACAAGCAAAATGCCTCCTGTTGACTTCTTTCGGGTCACGTTAATTTGAAGGCCACAAGACTAATGACGACTAATGATGTGAAACTACCAGGACGAGGAATGGGCAACTCAAAAAAGAACTACCTGCTCACCCCTTACAATCAACAAACCTTCTATCCCCAGTTCTAACACCATGAGACCTAATCAACCAAACCTGGGGGCTTCATATGCTTCTAACAGAAGCATCTGTTAAATCATAGATACTTCAATGACATAGAGACAATTTGACATCATATGAAAACCAGAAAGAAAAAAAGAAAAAAAAAAGCAGACTACAGTAACCTTTTTAGCCAACTGGTAACATATCTTACGCGGTAACATACCCACCAGAATAGATGAGTTGATTCCAAAAGTAAAGGGTCTAACTCATAGAAACCAGAACCAACCTGTAAAATCTTTGCCAGAAGGTACTGGCTGACACAAAATGCATTGTATGATCCACAAAGACCACAAATACCATACCAGTTAATACAACTTGACACAGATCATGAAAAGGTAGAGTAACTCGATAACCGCTGCAACATGACGACGACAAGACTGACTTTCAGACACCCATATTGAGCAATGCTGGATGACAACTCTGGACCTTCTCAACCCTCAAATATGTCCTAGTACTCACTGGAACAGTAGACAATTATAAATTAACCGGTGCACTGGAAATAAAGAAAATTAAAGAGCTAGAATCAAAATCCATCTACAGTGAAAAAACAAATCAAGCATAGAAGGAAACCTTTGAAATTGATCCATTAACACATTTCAGAAAATATTATGCATATCAAGGTTGTAGCGTGTACACAAATCACCAAAAACAATGATGATTCCAAACAACCAATAGAGATCCAGAGCAAATGTCTAATACAACAAACCTGATCATTTTCATCCGGGGCAGGTGAAGGGGACTTCTTTGACTCGGCTGGTTTGTCTGCTCCACAGTTCTGTCTGTTACACTTTGTTCTGAATGGATAGTTTATGTTATTACATTTCTCACACTTCCAGCTACCTTCTGGCATTTTTTGCTCTGGAAACCAAAATTGTTATTGAAGTTAAACACGAGGGAAAAAAAGTTCAAAGATTGAAGAACAAACGAGGAAAAAGCCATCAATTAGGTGAAAATGAGGCATGGGATCAACTTACTAGAATTTTTGTCATTCTTTGCAGCCTGCTTTACAAGAGAATAGATCGCATGTCAGAAAAATCATAAAATATAGAAAATTTCATCCACAAGAAAGACATATAAATAAAACATACAGAAAAGAAAGGAAGACTCGCAAGAAAGACATATAAATAAAACATACAGAAAGAAAGGAAGACTTACACATATGCATATGTATAGAGAGAGAGAGAGAGAGAGAGAGAGAGAGAGAGAGAGAGAGAGAGAGAGAGAGTGAGACCTGAGATCCAGGCTTTGGGGTATTGCACTTCCTCATGTTGCAAACAGTTCTAAATGAGAAGTTGATGTTTCCACATTTTGGGCATGTCCAATCATTATCACGTGTAGCATCTAAATGTGCAAAAAAATTGAACAATCAATGATCATTTAACTTAAGTTTTCCATGATGTCCAAAATGATTTGATGTTCACAGGAAGACTAAATTACTAACCTGCGCCCTTCTTTTGAGATTTATCATCTGGATAGAATCCTGGCCTTGGCCCCTGCACAAGAAAATTATACATAAATTGTACAACATCCAAGAGCACGAATTCTTTAGCAAGTTCACTCAAAAATTATGGATCCTGTGGACTCCGGAAGGATGATATAGGAAAATTTTCGGATCCCAGAGAATACCAAATATAGTAAAAGGATGGATGGCATTATAAAATAGCAATAGAAACTATACGTCAACAAATTGTTCCAGGGCTTGACGATGCCTAAATATGGAGCATGGAAATCCAAAAGCAAATGCATACGAGCTAGTACCCAATTCTAACAATAACAGTAGACTTTTGTACATACCATAGGACCAGGGCCCATGGGCAGACCTAGGCCATACCGTTCCATCATAGGGGGCATACCATACATTCCACCTGCAAGATTAGAGAATAACGAATGAAGAACCATAAGAAACTAAAAACCTAAATGGAACCAACACAAGCAAGGTTACAGCAACATGGGAATATCACAGCACTGTAAATGGGAAAAAATTAATAAGAAAATATTCAATGTACTAATATATCCATAACCCCAGCAAGGAAAAAAAATCAGAATCATCACAAAGGGATAAATGAACAAAGCATACCATTTCCAATCATGGATCCGCTAGAATAAGGTGTTGGTCCAGACAAATGCAGAGGTCTGTAGGGGCTGCCCGTAGACAGGCGGCTGCCGTAGTTGTAATGATATGCTGATCCCCCAGAAAATGGAACATCATAGGGTGGAATAGATGATCCATTGAAGAGAGAGGAACCATATGGTGGGACACCAAGATACATTGAAGAGGGTGCAGCAGAACCCACATAGGGAGCAGCAGATGAGTAACCTTGTGGGGCTTGGAAAGGCTTAGCAGCAGATTTCTGAAGAAGTACAAAACTTGATCAAAACTTGATCTTGATATCTATATATAATAGAATTCCTCTAAACATAATATACAAATCTTGAAACCATCACATTCATAACCCTCGAAATAAAAAGGGGATACTAACATGTCAACCAAAATTAACAAAAAAATGTATTGTAACCATCACACTCAGCAAAGTAACATCCGTGTTTAGGACAGTTGTGGTCGGACTCTTACTGAGTTATGATCCGCTGGCCTTGGCTGAGTGCAATTACGCATATTGCAAGTAGTTCTAAAGGAAAAATTAACATTTCCACAGCTAGGGCAGGTCCAATCATCTTCCCTTCTACTACCTACAAACACCACATATAAGAATAATGAACTCCAAAATCATAACATCGAAAATTATACACATGGACTAAATCCCTAAAATACACATTCAAAGCATAAGGAAGCAATACACGCATATATACATTCCAGATCTTCTACTTACATAAACTTTGAGGCTCACAGGCAAAAATTATAATACCAACAGCAAAGCCGAATCAAAGGGACCTCAATGGACGAAAAATTAAAATTAAAATTATAAAAATGCATACCATCGGTTCTAGCACGCTTGGCTGCTGAAGAATTTCTGTTGTCAACCTGAACACCAAGAAATACGAAGCTTAAAGAAACCAACTTCGTCCGGCGCACTGAAAACCCTAACTATGGCTTCGTCGCAGTGATTTGGGGAAATCTCCAATGTAAAAAAGAGAGGGGTTGAGAGGAGAGGAGAAGCTCGATAAATTGAACGAAATGGAAGATGATTACCTGAGACATATCGGCGGCGAGATATTTGATTCGGATTCGAGTGCCAGGAGAATGCAGTTTACCCTACAACAGAAACGACGGTGGCGTTGGGGACTCTCGACAGAGATATTGTGAGGGTTTCTCTACGCGCATCGTTTCGCGTTATTACGTGTTGGATTGTGGGTCCCGCTATGATGGACGGTCCAGATGAAACTGACTAGGATGACCATTCAAAAAGAGCAACGCGTCCATTTAAACATGTAGCTTTTTTTTTTCTTTTTCTTTTTTTGTCATAAACATGTAGCATCTTTTGGAGCCATTTTTCATTCCTCCAAATCACAATACATATGAAAAGAAAACAAAAAATCATTAAAAAAAATAAAATAAAAGATATCTATCTCTAATCACATGTAAATATAAATAGCTACTTTCTATTAGAAGCATTATATTATATATATGCGCCAACCGAACTTTTGCACACAAAAATTGAAAGTTAAAATTGCTCTAACCAAATAGTCAAATCATACATGGATTTGAAGGCTAGAAAAGATATGTCAAAAATAACATATCAAAAACTTGATGTCAAATATTATTTTAATATTTTTTAGTCACGGACCTCGCTATCATTTACTATCTTTTCAAACTTTATGCATCACATGGGCCCATTTGCTTTTAAAAATATAATAAAATAATATAATATTTGGCATTTCGGGTTGAGTTAAATTTTTTTTTACTAAAATTGGGTTTAGTTCATGGAAAAAAAGGCTTGGGGATGATAAATCAATTGTTTTCTCATGTATTGTAAGTCAATGCATAGGAAATGATTGCCTAGACCCTATAACAAGGGAAAATAAGGGGTGAGGGGGAGAATGTAACCTTCCTCCCCCTTTGGGTTTCATTTTCCCTTCACATGGGAAACTTGGGGAAAATGAGCCAGCATTAAATGCATATTTTTCATGACCATTTGGTGCCATTAACAATTTAAAATTTCAATATAGCATTAAATGTATTCTTTTTTTATTTCATATGAGTATAATTGAAAAATTAAACAAACTTTGTTTTACATTCTTACACAAACCAAACATGAAAAATGAAATAAAGCGGTATTTTCTGGTTACTTTCCCAGTATTTCTAAACCTCTGAAATGAATCTTCCATTTTTCATCTCTCAGAGCACTTCCACTCTTGCAATCCAGTACAGAAGAAGGCCCCCCCAGCCCCCAACAACCAACTCCAGCGGCCAAGGCCAGCCCCGGCAATGAGTGGGCTCCATCAGCCTGGGGTTGCTAATGTCAGCATGACATCAGCGATCAATTTAAATACCCAAAAAAATTAAATTAAATACCAACAAATTTTTTTAAAAATACCAAAAAATTTAGAATTTTTTTTATAAATAAATACCTAGCCATGTTCTTCACTTCCCACATCAAAACTTCATACAAATTCCTCAATTCATATTTCATGTGAATAGTATTTGCATTTACTTGTCATGGCAATGGGTGAAAAAGCAAAATAAAAAACAGTAGGGCATTCACTATTCACATGAATAATGTATGCCCTTACTTGCCTTATTTCCATCCATTTGTCATGGCAAAAAGCAAGGGTTGTTTACTATTTACATGAATAGTGCTTGCCCTAGTAATTCTTTTGTTGGTTTTCCACCCATTGCCATAACAACCCAAGGGCAACTACTATTCACATGAGATATGAGGAGAGGAATTTGTATAGAGTTTTGGTGTGAGAAGTTAAGAATATGGCTAGGTATTTATAAATAAATACAAATTTGAAATTTTTGGTATTTTTTTCAGAATTTTTTTCGTTGCTAACGTCATAGCCGTCATGCAATATAGCTTGGGTTGTTCTTGGCTTCGGGCCTGCCAAGGCTTAGTGGAGTCCCACGCCTTGCCTGGGTTGTTTTGTACCGTTGAAAACTGCTTCACGGGCCTAGGCCCCCTCTTGCCCAAACTGGGGGTGCAGTGAAATGGTACTAAGAAAAGACATATGAAATTATTTCACATCAAAACTTTTATGCGAATCAAACGAGGACTAAGTGTCAAATTACCACATAAGCCATCAAATTTAAATTTAACACTTTATATTTAATATTTCATTTGGAGATGCACTTTGTATTTGATATTTCATTTGAAGATGCTCTTAGCCAAGTGACATAATTCACATGTTGTATAATTAAGGGTGGCATGATCGCAACCCTTGCCCCGAACGCCCAGCCCAACCTACCAATAAATGCTAGTGGTCAGTTGTGTGTACTGGCTGATATGGTAGCAGCCCTGTTGAGTGTTGACTTTGACTGCATGAGAGCGGATGAATGGCACTAGTGCAATAGTAACAAGAACCCGGGAGAGAAACTCGAGGAAACGATTCAATTTTTTGGATTTGCAAAAAACCCTTTCACCATTTACTGTTCTGACTTTGAATTTAATATCCATGAAATCTAACCCCCGGGCCCGGCTCGTGAGTAATAGTTTTGAATGAAGTTTTGAGTTGTAAATGGTTTCAATTATTGACTTTTCACGTCAAATTAGAAATGAGAACTTCAATCAATATGGGTTCTTACAAAGTTTTTGTTGTACTTGTTCAAACTTTAGGAAGAATATGAGCAGGGAATACTGAAATACTGAACATTCTCAAGAATTATGAAGCTAAAATTCGAACACGAAACGCTTGGCATGAAGCTGACCAAGATGAAACACAGAGACCAAGTCAAGGAAACAACACACATTGCCTCAAAGGCAATCAAATGTTAAAAAGAGTCCTAAGATTGCGCAAAAACAACCAAGAATTAAAGGACTTGGAATACTCCACTACCCCTCAGCAGAGGACCTTCACACTCTCATATGCTTAAACAAAGAGATTAGAGATTGATCCAACAACAGGGAATGTAAAGAAAATGATGGCCACAGCCGTAGCCATCAGACCGGCATGGTGGGGTCCGGGCTTGGTAATTCCATTAGAGTCGCCGGTCTTCGCTGGTGCTGATTTTCCGGCGGGTGCAGAAGGAGTGGCCGTTGATGAAGCATTATTATTGAAGATAGCAGCCTCTGGTGAGCCAGCAGGTATGCCTAGAAGCTCTGGTGATTTGAAAAAACAAAAGCACAATGCAAAGTCAATTAGCTGTGCTTAGCATGTGGAACTTCAATTAAAGATGCATCTATCAAAATATATAGCACATTGAATTGTAGAACACTAATGCACCAGAGACCATGCGACCTTCGAGGATTCTTTTAACTTTAGGTCGGCATTTTCAAATCTCTCTTTAATAACGGCACATGCTAGCTAGCTGTCAATGTGATCCATCTTTTTGGTTGGGGGTTGGGGGGGTTGGGGGCAGTGGCTAGGTGGGGCAATTTAGAACACGTTGGGGTGTGATGTGAGTTAATCTGAGCCGCAGGTGTCAATTGCCTGCCCATGCAGCTCGGCTAGACAGAAATGAAACATGTTTTAAAGATTCTATACTTTGGTCGCAATGTTTTGTCTTACCCAAAAAAATATAAAGAAAAGGAAAAAGAAACTCAATACTTGACAATGACCTCAAAGGAAAAGTGAAGGCTATATTTTTAACCCGGGTGATCTGCAAAAATATATTTTGTCCAAAATTTTGAAAGGACTGTTGAGCATATAATAATATACAAAATATTTTATTACTACCCAATTTTACTATTAATTATCATGTCACTTAGTTTTGTTACCTTGATGAGGTCTTTGTCTTTTTCCTTTTCTTTTTTTCTTTTTTTCTAAAATTTTCTTCTCTCTCTTCTCGTAAGAGATTTATGTATATTTTCGCACTTTCCTACCTACACTTCAAATGGTGGCCGAAACCGAAACCCTTTCACACCAACTAATCTATCCACATCAGCATATTAAAACTCAACACAAATAATCTAAATAAACACATTAATTACTAAGTATAAATTAACTTCCAATTAGTTAGGGTTGCATGCATCTTAAAACTATAATTAAGCACTTCTTCTGTCCTTAGTTATGGTCTCTAAACTAGAACTAGAACATTAATTATTTTAACCTTAAAACGAAAAACGACACCGTCTTCAGTCACAAATGAAAAGGAGAGAGAGAGAGAGAGAGAGAGAGATAGAGAGAGGGGACGTGTACTCACTAGGACAGTCGCTGGCGCTGGCGTTTTTCAAGCTGCATGCAGTGGGGAGCTGAAGCAACTTGGCCACCTGGATCCCCATCTTCTTGATCTCGTCGCTGCCGCTGTTGGCCTGCTGCATGACGTAGCACAAGCACTCCGGCTCGCTGTCCCTTATACCCTTCACCGACTCGCAGCACTCCTTCGTCGGCGTCTCCGCCTTCCCCGTAGCGTAGTTCAGGCACACCGCCACCTTCTGAAACTGGTTGCTGCACTTCTGCGCCACAGTCGCGGCCGCACTCGCCTCACTCACCGAACCAACGATCAAAAGCAACGCCACCACCAACATCTTCCTCATCATCTTCTTCAACTAGCAAGCTTGATATGAAATTTAGAAGGTATGATATAAAGAAGGGAAAACGAAAATGTATGGAGGGTTTGGACAGACTTCGACTCTATTTAGCCTTTAATTTATTGAAGGAGGAGAAATGGGTGTTCTGCGCTTTTAATTTGGGACGTACAAGTCAGCATCATGGAAGGAGGCTGTTTTTATGGGGATTTAAATGGAGGCCCGTCGGGGTGGTTGGGGTAGCAATTAAAGCCTCTGCAATGCATGCAGCTGATGTTGTTGTTGGATTTGTGTAATTGTATTTGTATAAATGAGGGAAAAAGAGAGACGGAAGAGATGAGCTTTGCTTTTAATGAAGGAAGTTGAGCTGTTTCATCAAAAACAAAAACAAAGTTGAGCTGTAGCGCACACAGGTGTCGTGCCCATTGGCCACGTGGCGGCTCCGTGATGTGCGAGATTTAGGAAGATAAGATGGTTGGAGTTTTCTCCTTATCGGGAGTTGGTTTTCGCAATCAACGGCTCAGATTGTGACCTGGTCATGTGAATAAGGCCATACGACAACAACTATTGATTGTAATTCATGGGCGCAGACCCCCATCAAAACTCAACCTAAATTTGGGCATTTTCACATTAGAAAGTCGAATATTTATTTGTATCATGGAAAAGTCG